AATCCTGGTGATAATGACCTTGGTATCCCAATAAATTATGATCTAGAATGGGTTCTAAACACTGTAGAAGGGATGATGGCTAAAGCAGTACCAACAATATTATACGGGGTCCAACATGGAGTGCCTAAACCTGGGAATGTGTCAGGGCAGGGTCTGGAAGGGCCCAAAATCCAGTGGCTTTTTATGAGGGGTTGTGCGAAGTAGCTAGAAAATGGGCAGATTTGAATCCAGACAATGAGGCTAATCAGGGGGTGTTCAGTATGTTGTTTATCAGGCAGTTGGTTCAGGATATAAGGAAGAAGTTACAGAAAGTTGATGGAGTTGGGGGAATGTTAATTTTGCAGTGGACAGAAATAGCATCCAAAGTATATAATAACTGAGATGAAAGGGAAAGGAAGGACAGACAGAACAGGATGAAAGCTGCAAGCCTCATTACTGACAGCAGCCACAAATGGGAAAAATGTTGGAAGTAGAGGCAGGGGAAGAGGCAGAGGAAAGGGAGCACAAGGCAGAACGGCACAGGGAAGAGGCTCACTAATTCGAACACCCGTGGGGCCAAATCAGTGTGTGGTCTGTAGACAGGAGGGACTTTGGAAGAATGAATGCCTGAACCGAAGGGGACCAAAGGGACAAGATCACGTGATGATACCCGCATTATGTCAAAGACCTCAGGTGACGAATGAAGGTGATCAGGAGAAAACATTGAAGTATCCTCAGCTGATCCCCGTGTTCCAGTTAATCTGGGGAATAAAACTGTAGATTTTTTTAATTGACAGCGGGGCCACTCATTTGGTAATCACTAGTTGTAAAGGACCTCTAAGCAAGGTAACTATGCCTATGGTTGGGAAAATGGGAAAGCAGATGGCCAGGCCCTTCTTCAAACCAATGGATTGTATGACTGGAGGTACTAAGTTAACCCATGGGTTTCTTTATATGCCCAATGAGGTTTACTTTGTAAAATTCATGCACTATTAACATTTTCTGAGAATTCAGTTCAGATGCATGTTCCACCAGAGTCAGCATGGAAAGCACAGACATGCCTCCTGACAGATTTACAGCATCAGAGTTAGCAAGACAACAGTGACGATATATCCAGTGTGGTTCTGGATGCAGTAATCCATTTGGTTTGGGGCACAAAGAAACCCAGGAGAGCAAAAAATGTGAGTCCTGTAAATACAGAACTGAAGCCCTGAAACCAACTGGTAAGAAAGAAACAATATCTGATAAAATAGGAGGTTAAGAAGGGCTTAAACTTGCTTGATTACAACCTTTTTAGAATTCAGACTTTTATGGGAATGTCAATCTCCAGTTTTGCTACTAACAAAGCCTAAACCCCAAGAATCCCAGTTCTGCAGGAGATTAATCTGATTGTAGCCAATGTTCTAGCCAGTGCTACCTAACCCTTATCCCTAGTTAACTACCATCCCAGAGACTAATGTTTACCATATTAAAGAGTGTCTTCTTCTGTATTCCAACAAGTGAACAGTCAGATGCTGTTTGCTTTCGAGTGGGAAAACCCAGGGATGGGAAGGAAGTGGCAATTGCGCTGGATGGTGTTACCACAAGGATTCAAGAATAGCCCTACGCTTTTTGGTAATGTATTGGCGAAAGAACTGGAACAATGGCAAGATATCCAACAGAAAATGACATTGTTACAGTATGTGGATGACAGTTGGGGCGCCTGGAAAGATGGGTGTCTGAGGGTCACTACTGGTGTACTGAAGTTCTTGGGTCTAGCTGGATATCGAGCCTCTAAGGAAAAGGTAGAGATAGTACAGGAGCGAGTCCAGTATTTGGGATATGAGCTGTGAGAACTGGGGATAACAAAAAGTCGCAATCCGTAGAATTGCAGTTGCGAAATCAAAGCGAGAATTGAGAGGGTTCCCTGGAATGGCTGGCGATTGGACCTCCTGGAGTGGACACCCGAAGGCAGAAAAGGGTTTGATGACATCCAGCTACCATAGCTGAGCAAGAACCCCTGCACCGTGACTGCACAGCCGCAGTCAAACAGGTCGGTACGAGCGGACCGGGTCGGAAGGATCAGCCTCTAGAAGTTGTGGAATTGGAATTATACCCAGAGGGTAGCAGTTCTGTGCATGGAGGAGTCAGGAATGCTGGGTATGTAGTAGTGACCATTGATAAAGAAATTGAAACTCAGTCTTTACTTCCGAATCCCTACAGACCTGAAGTATGCCCTCGGGTAGCACATGTTCATGGAGCCGCCTGGGGGGAAGGTGGACTGCTGAGTTCCCAAGGAACACCCATTAAATGTGGACATAAGGTGCTAGATCTTTCACAAGTGATATTGGAGCTGAAAGAAGTGGCTATAATCCATCGTAAGACCAACCGTAAAGGTCAATGGGGTGTCGTTCAAGGCAACTGTAAGGCGGATTCGGCAGCAAAGAAGGGGAAACCTTGCAGGAAGGGTCTCAGGAGGCACTAATACCTGCAAGAAATATGGATATGAAACTGCCCCAGTATTCAGAGAAAAACGATAAGCTACCTCAAATATTCAAAAACAATGAAGGGTGGTGGTTGACGCCCACACGCCAAGCCCTCCCTAGTCACCCCTCAATTGATGAACTCTATTCTTGTTAACTTAGAAACAAAGACAATGGAGGGCAAAGACAATGGCCAATAGCATCAAGCGATACACTGTAGGGCCAAAAATGCAGACATTGGCAGACATAATCAGTAGAAAGCATCTCCTTTGTTGTAAAAATAATCTGAAAATTCAGCGTAAATCATCACTTGTTAGCCTAAAATTGGAATAACTCCCAGAGAACACTGGCAGGTGGATTTTTCAGATTTGCCTAATTGTAATAGTTATAAATATCTTCTTGTTCTGGCTGAACGTTGGTTTGGAATACCAGAGGGACAATCATCAGGTAACAGACCCCATTTCATTGCTGAGATAGTATAGGTAGTATATAGGTTCCTACCAATCAAATGGGAACTACTTACTCCCAGCAACCTCAGTCCACTGGAAAAGTAGAAAGAATGAACCAAGCTCTTAAAAAACAAATTGCCAAATTGTGTCAAGAAATTCATTTGGAGTGGATAGAAATGCTACTGATGGCAATAATGAGAATTGGGATCACTCCTCAAAGTAGAGAGAAGGTGAACCCTTTTGAGATCCGTTATGGAAAACCATATCCAGTCAATCCTGCTCTTGGGAGGGTTGATCAAATGAATATAATTGGAAAAATAGTTATGCAGGCTCGTCTAATATCTCTCTCCAGGGTCACTGCTACATTAGATACCACTGTACATTAATTCCAAGCTGGATATTCCATCTATATTCAAACTTGGGAAGATGAACCGTTAGAAGAAACAAAGAGGGGTCACTGTCTTGTACTTCTGATGACCAATACAGCAGTAAAGGTGGATGGGATTAACTCCTGGATAAAGGAGTTAATAAAAGGGTGCCATCAGAAGAACGATGGACTTCCAAACATACAGGGGATTTAAAGATTTCAGAAGAAAAGTGACAATATGGTTCAGGAGAGACTTGTTTTAATAAGCTATATGTAAAGTTTGAGATACGCCTGCACTGAGGTGAAATATCCACAAGGACAATATTTGCCTTGGAAAAAACGGTGAAAATGAATACTATAAACTATGTATAAGTCCACAGGCAGAGAAGGAGTGATTTCGGATTGAAAGAGGAGTAATCTTGTGATCATTTTCCTGGCAGAATGCAGCTTCCTACAGCATGGAAAGCTATTGCAGCAGGTGAGTGGCGTTATGTGCAAAACACACCATGGTGTATTGAGTGAATTAGAGAAGAAGGGTCAAATCGGCCAGGTGTCAGACTAGTGACACACATAACAGCAAGAGGTAAAATATCAGAGCACTTCAGATGGATTTGCACATGTGTTTTTAATGGTTCCACAAAGAATTCGGAAATATAGAGATTAGGTCCAGTTGCCCAACTATTGCAATTAGGGTATCTGTGTAGAAATTACTGATGTAAATGATACATGGACTAACACTATGATTAGAAACACTGGTATTGGCCATGATAGACAAACTGTGCCCTCCGTGGGTCATACTGTATGGGAGAGTGGTGGTGGACCTTGGTCTACTCAACTACTTTTAGGAGGACCAAGGAAAAATATTACCTTGTTCCCTCTGTGGAAGAAAAATCCTTAGAACCTCATTTATGGGGAAAAATACAAGGAGAGGAAACAGATGCATGGAGACATCCTTCAACAGGAACAAAGGTAGGATGGATACTAGAACCTATCTTCAGGCCTCAGATGACTTGGCTTCAGAATGGTGTGTGGTTGTACAATATATCAGGGCAAGCTTAGAAATGGCGTGTGTAAATCTAAACTGAACCAATACCTTGTTGGTTTAACGGTGTGGTGTGCTGGCTCTGTGGAGTTAACACCCAGCACCCACCTCTGCGCAGCCATGAAATAAAAGCAGATACCTCGGCTCTGTGTGTTGGTCGGTGCTGCACACCGCGTGATCAACCCAGATTTGGGACAACAGTGGGACACGCTGCCCATGACATCCCACCAAGGCTGTGCCTCACCCCGCTGCCTGGGCACAGCCTGTTCTGCCCTGCCACCCCCCGGGGACATTTAAGGGGGAACCCAAGGACAAGTTACCCACAGCTCAGCAGAAGGTTTGCAAGTGAAGCACTGCTTCGGGCTGCCAGGGAGGGGACGTGGGACAGCCGTCATCCCCAGGGACCCCGCTGCCCTTGGTGATGCTGCATGAAGCATCCCCATGGGAGGGTGGCTGTGGAGCAAGACCCTCCCCGTGAGTTTGCCGCAGGGCAGAAACCAGAGTCAGGACCTGCATCCCCACAGAAACCCTTTATTTTGCACCTGGTGCCCAGCCTTCACGCTGGGCTGGACTGGCCTGGGAAAGCATGAAACTGTGAGCTGAGCGCTGTGGAAATGCAGCACATCAGCATGGGCAGAGCCTGGCTGGGGGATGTACCGTCTCCTCGCAGTCCTTGGCCTCCTGGATTTCCCCACTTGGTGTTATTTTATCCGGGTGAAAACGCTCGTGCCAATCCTGCAGGAAATCCCAAATCACTGAGGTTCCTCCAGCTGCAGCCACCTATGCTATGATGGAGGGTGTAGAGGGCAAACCCAAGCCGGGGCACTGTGTTCCCCGCTGCCTTGCTGGGTGCTGAGAGGAATGCCCTGGGCTCCAGCACCTCGTAGTGGAGGCTGCACTGGGTGCTGGTGTCGTGTTCTGCTCTCTCCCTGCTGGGGAGGGTGCAAGAAGAGTCCTGGCTGGAGCTAGACCCCATCCAGGGGTCAACCACCGTGGGGCACACCCAGGATGAAGGATCTGGCCTGATCACTAGGATGCCCCTTAGCACCTGCTTGTCACCAGTGAAAACCTGTTTCACCCTCCTGCTGTCCCTTCCTCAGCCCAGAGTGCAGGACAGCTTGGCACAGTGATGGACGGGACCTGGTGCTTACCGTGTGGCTTTCCAGTCGTTGGCAGGGCTGTCGGACACCTCTCGCAAGAGCCACACTGTGTGCAGGGTCTCCTCCCCGTTGGTGCCCACGTAGCACTGGCCCAGGAAGGCGGTTGTCCGGGCTATCTCCGAGTCTGGAAGTGTTCAAGGTGGTGTGAGTCAGGGTGGTGAGACACAAAGCCACTCCTCCTATGTCCCACTGGCACCCCTGCTGTGGGGGGATGGCCCCCTTCTCCCTACCTCGGAACTGCCAGCGCACGGTGAAGGAGAATGTGGGATTTGGAACCAGTCCTGCATCCTGCTGGGACCCTTCCAGTGGCGAGGTGAAGATATCGGGGTCACCGTCCGCAGGCCCCGGCAGGTAGGACCCGGAGAAGCTGCCATCCTTGCTGAGAATGGACACCACCATCCGGCATCCGCTGTCGCTCCGCCAAGACCCAGAGAGTAGGCACTGCAAGGCCAGCGGTGTGTGTTGGGGTGCCCGGACAGGCCGGGGGGGTATCCTGCTCCCATCCCAGAACCTTGGCTCTTCCTGGGGATGGCTGCAGCACTGGGGGACA